AGGTAGGCATAATATAAGCAGATACATTGGGTGTAAAAGATTTCTGCACAGTCTGCAGAAAGGAAGAAACCCTGCTTGAACTTAAGGAAGTGCAGTGATAAGTTCTTAAGGCTAAACTAATCCATGTCACTGTAGGCCAGTTGGTACTCACCCTACTTACCCTTGGCGAACAAACACCATCTACCCTGCTCACATCTGTAAAATACACTAGGTTAGAAGCCATGGGGTGTCTACACAGACCTTTGCTGACATAACTCACATGTCATGGTTTCTCTGAGTAAGGCCCTCTGAGGGTCACAAGGCTCCCAGAGTGGAATTTCAGTCAATGTCACTACGACTGTATGAAGCCATCTCTTATTTTAATCCTCTCGCTCTCAGATGACATCTCTTCATCAAGCACATCACTGACAAGCAAACGCTCCTGTGACTTTCCCCTCAAAAACTACCATCAGAACAAAGTAGTCTGAAATCCAGCTGTGATGCGCTAAAAAATCTGGCAGCTGAGTTAAATAGACCAAAACACAGAACACTCTTGATGGATTCATCTAACAATAAGCTTTGCTGAATGTTCCAGTTAAAATGATCAGTATGTATGGAGATTGCTTTAACATTTTTAGTACTAACTTTTAAAAATATTTCAGAAGCTAAGGAAAAGAAGAAACAAAAATAAGAGATAATGATTAAATCGCAAGTTTGTGACGGTATCTGGATATTTGGGGTTTTTACCTCCATTCATAATTTAAATCACATTTGACTGTGTTGCAGGTGCCATGCTGTATCACTGGTCTAATCTGCCGATCCTGTTGCACTGCACACTTTCAGGGTCAGTTCTACTCTCCTGTTGATGCCCATGGGCTCCTCTCATTAACATTAATGGCAGGTAGGCATGCACATCAGTGGGAGAATTAAATGGATGTTTAGCTGTTACTGAGAATTCAGCTTCAGGAGGAAGTCAGTCTGCCTTACAAGTGATAAGCCACAATATTAAAGACTGCTTTAAACAAGAGAGCTTTTTTTCCTCCAGAAAAGTGTGATGAATAAGTAAAGGGCTCAATACAACTCTCATTTATTGGAAGGGCATTCTGCTATTAGTTTCAAGTTGGAGCGGCTCAGGCCAAAAGGCTTCCCCTGAAACCTCATTCGGATTTTACCGCAGACTTCTTGTCAGAACTCATATGCGTAAGAGCGATCTGTATTCAATTCCTACATTAAAATGTCTCCTTCAAAGAAAAAAAGTTTGCTTCTTCTGCGTCACTATATTAAAACTGATTGTTTGCATTTCAGAAATATTAGGGAGTTGTATAGGTCACAGAAATTTTGCACCAGTACCTTATTGAAAGAGGTGCAGAGCACTTTTGACTTCTGAGGTCCAGTGACTGCCACAGACAGCTTCTTGGGTGCTGGGGCATTTGCAGGAGCAAGTCATTAAGCAGAAACGAAAATCCATCAGTAACATAAACACAAATTTTAGACAGCAAAAAAAAAAATCACTCCAAAGATGGAAAAATGGGAAGGTACTGATGCTGGCACTGCATCCGCCATCAGGAATGGGTGAAAAAACTTACAGGTGAAAATATCTCCTTCAGTAAATATCATAAAATCTGTTTTCAGTTCAAGTATTCTCTTAATTGATAAACAATGTTCAGCTCCAGAAAGAGCACACACATTCATTCCAAGGGCTCACCATATTTCAAAATCTAGTTATTAATGAGGTTAGAGGATTTTAATTGGATTTAGAAATTATGTCATATTTCTCCAGTGGCAGAACTTACACCTTGCCCAACTTCTGCATTTGCAGTCAGACCTTGCTGTGTGGTCACAACACGGATGTCTTAAGCCCTGAGCACGAGGCAGCACTACGGGGACCAAGCTTTGAATCTTACCAGTACTGTCCTCCTTCCCTGTGCCACCTGGCTGAATGTGGAACAGAAAGATGGCTCTGCTGACTCCTTGCCTCCATGTATGTGGGAGAGAGTGATGTCCTGCAGAAGCTGTATGACCTCTCGTCCTCATGCACAGTGATTTCATGCTTGCCTGTACTGCCCTTCACAATCTTGCCCTTATCACAGAAAGTAACTAATCAACTTTTTTGTATTTTTAATACTTTAAAAAGACCTATGTGAAATGTTCTAAACATGAAACCAAATAGATCATATGCAGAAAGGATGCAATATTTTCAAGAATAGAATCAGTAAGAACGTCACTGTTCTATAATTAAGGCTACACTGACAGGAAACAGATTCAATTCAGAAACTGTAATCTCTACATGGCATATTGGCACACAGAAAAAAATAAATAATTCGATAAACTCTTCCAAGTACTTACTGTACTTTCAAACAAAGGTAAACAACAAAAAGCTATGGAAAAAAAAAGCACAGACAACTCTGAGGAAAACACAAGTGCCTCTAATTTGTTTCCAACACTTCATTCTTTAGAAATTCTATTCCATGCTGAAGACCTAAATGAATGCACAAAAACACACTGTATGTATAAGCCCTTATGCAGAGTTTAAAAAATACACAACAATATCTAAAGGTAGATTTCAAATACAAAAGTATAGGTTTGCATAAAGCAATAAGAAAAAGAAAATGACAAATCGTAAAAATGGGATCTAGGAAGAAAAAAACAACATGACAGCTATTGATACTATAATTCATAAAAATCCCAGGGCAAATCCAATTATTGGTGTGGCAAATCCATGTTCTACTGCCTCAAAACTAAACATTCATTTCCATTTTTATACATTCAGTTCCCTGCCTTTGTACAGTATAAATCCAAGTAAGTCAAATCTCGTATGAAGCACAGACTGGACCCGGATATCTTGGGAAAAGTCACATGATCTAGAAAGAGATTCCTCTTCCCAAACGTGCCCAACAGAGACTACTATAAATCTCTGCTATGTCTAAATCAAGATTTCATTGTCTTAGAAATCTGAATGGTTAGATGTAAAACTAAAGCAATGCAACCTACAAACAGAACCCCAAGTTATGACCGAGTTTAGTTTAGTTTGGTTCTGTAAGAGGTTATTTGCTGTGCCTTCCAAACTGACTTCCATATTTGTTCAATGGCAACGTTAAGTATATTCTCCGCTGGAATTAATTTGCTCAGTTCTTGCTGTTAAATACTGTACAGTATTTTATAAAGCAAATAGACAACCATCAGCTTTAGGAAAGAGCATCCAAATATCCACAAACAGAATAAGTAAAAACATTTCCACATGCACTGAAAAATTGCTTTTGGTCTGCCTCTAAACCAGTGTTTCTATTATATGGAAAGCTGAAAAGATTGAGAAAATCTGAGCATTTTCCTTATGCACATAAAATAAATGTTGATTTTTTTTTTTTTTAAACTCTACACTCTAACATTACATTTCGCAAACTGAGCAACAAGAAGGACTGGAAGAGACAACCTGTATTGTATTACTGCAAGAGCATTCCTGTTTAAAGAAAGTTTTTGCATTGTTTGTATTTAGTAAATAAAGCTTCTGTAAATGAAGCAGCAGCGCAATACCAGAAGAAAAAAAACAAGGCCTGTAATAATGTTTAAAATCTTTAAATCATTAAAAAATGAAAGCCTGGCTCTGCAAATAAACCCCACAAAAGCCACCAAAGAAACCAGGAAGTGGAATTATAATATCCATTAAAAAGGAGTTAATGAAATTGTTAAGTAGTGTGAGGATTTGAGAATCATGTGAAATATGTTTATTATAGCGTACTCACTGTCTCCAGTCTCACTGTACTTGACTGTCTGCATACCTTAAAGCCAGGATTGTTCAAAGGTATTTTAAAGAAATTCAAGAGAAAAACATTTGTGCTAATAAGAATGCTCTAGACTACCATTAATTCTCTCAACAAAATCCAAAACATCACTCTTCTACCCACCAAGTGCTACAACACTCAGTGAGGTCTCGTGTTAGTAAGACATCACCATCATTTATATGAAAAAAAAAATGCTTGCTTTCCATACAGCAACAATTAAAAGTAAGTGAAACTTATAATTACAGACAAAAAGAATATCTGAATTGGGAAGCTTTTTTTTTTTAAAAAAAAAAATACGTTTACTCAATAGTCTACAATTTCAGTAATATGAATTAGATTCAGCAGTCAGTAAATTAGTGCGATTCCATTTAAATTATTTGGGACAAATAGGAATCTCAGAAGCACTGATATTTCCCTAATATCAGTGGAAGCCATGAGTGTTTATCTGATGGCAAACTCTTGTGATACTGCGGCTTCTCAATCATGTCGTGAGAAAGTTGTGTTTCCCAACCTGAACACAAGCAAAGCAAACTTTTGTTTTGGGTGTGAACATTCATTCAATTGCTGGCAAATCACTAGAAAAGTAACTTACTGATGTTCTCTTCTCCAAGAAGAAAGGTAAAACTCCTGGTCTGCTCTCTACTTCCAACAAACAGCATATGGTAATCCCTAAAACAGCTCAGAAGAGACTCAAACCAGATACCTGTTTCAACTAAAGCCATAGTATTTCGCATTCATTCCGAGTAGTTCATCTGCTACCGCTTCTTTCACGCTCTTTCAAACTAACTTCCAACTGCTGACATTGTAAAGAAATCCTTATCAATTTGTTTAACGAAAATATATTTTAGTAAAGTCGTGCTCTATGAGCTTCCTACATTGGAATACATGAATACAGGAAGTGCTTTCAACAGAAAGTTACATAGTTTTACAGTACAACCTGTCTAAGGAGATTTGGAAGGGACCAAACTAATGATCTGGTCTCTTAGGATTAGGCAGAAGTACAGGCAAGAGGGAAAAACCCAATTTATGCCATATATAGAGCTCGTTCCTGTCACAGATTGAAGAAACATTATTTTGATTTCAAAGGTCACCTGATGCCCAAATGCTAGTATTTTTCAAACCAACTGCATATCAAAAAATGAAAACTTACTTGTACTAAGCTCCTGGAAAGAAATTCAGTGTAAAACAACAGTATATTCATATTTGCTATATTACTAAGTGTTCTCCATCGGTGGGTTTTTTTTCTTTTGCTCTACAGATCATTAACCTTTTCTCAAATTATTGATCTTTAATCCGAATGCAGGCAGGTCAGAAGCTACCGTATTAGAGCAATACAAAAAGTACACAAAGAGGAGCTTACATAAATTTGGAGAACCTTACATAAAATGTTTCTGAGTTGAAAACCACAAAACAAACCCAAACAAGTACAGCATCAGGTGGATGGGGGAGGGACCGCTAACGTATCTGCGTACAGCAAGGCTTCTCTGACACCAAGGAAGTGTCTGACACGAAGTGAAGATTATACATTAAATCCCGCCATTTTGCATGTTGTGCATTCTTTACAATGGAATGTTGACCTCAATTTTTGTTGTTTATTTCCACAACAAAACCGTCGATTGTGACTGGGGATGATCATCTTCTTGAGAGACCAAACTCCCTTAAAACCACAACTGCACTTTGTACCGTCCATTACGATTCTAGTAAAGTATGCCATCTACATACTTGCTGTCCTTTAGATTCTTTCATTTCAGTCCAGTGATTGAGTTCATCTTCTCCTGAGCTGTTGAGACCTAAGGAAATCCACCCTATCATCTCTTTTCGTTTCATGCTGCGCTTATTATATACAGACAGTATAAGTGTCACGTCTGAAAGCTGAAACAGTGCCACTTGGAAAATGAAGGTTTCTTTGTATACCGGATTTGGCTGTCCTCTGCGGATTGAAGTTTTGCATTTGGACATCTCTTGCCCCATCGAGTTCAGCAGTGTTAACTTTACATATGTATCTACAAAACAGATCGTATTTTGGAATGTCAGATACCGTAGAACAAAAGTTTCTAGAATGAGATATTTACAAGACACATGGATATGGTGTATACCAGGCTGACTGAACACAGCTTAGTTTAGACACATGAAATGATGACAAGTAAGCAAAATATTTCGAACACAATAACAAATTAACTAGCTTCAGTACTATGTAAACGAGTTAAGTTAAAGGTATACCTCATAATCCTCTTCCCATTGACCCCCTTATTTGTTCTAAACAAATTTAAATTGCATTAACACTTAGCAAGCTCCAACTAGCCACAACACTGTAAAGCATACCACTGAATTTTCAGAGAATAAGAATAAACAAAGTAGAATGAAGGCAACCAATGAAGAGGAAAAAAAAAAAAAAATAACGCTCATATGCAGTGATGATATCAGAACAGCCAAAATGAGATGCTTAAGAGTAATCTCTGCATGGATGTGGTTCTCACTTTAGGCTTTTAAATTTTATTTATTTTAAAGACTAAAATGTAGCAAAGTGCATTCAAAGGCAGAAGCTTACACAATTCAAAAAGCCTCTTAATTCCCAGATTCATGAAGGAATACATTTAATACATCTTTAAAGAGAAATAAGTTTTTGCATAATTCAATATGGTTGTTTAAACGTAGCTTCTACAGTGCTCTTAGGAAATACATTTAAGAAGCTGATGCAAGTAAACATGGTTAGCATGCATTGGGTGTCAGTATTTGGGTATAAACTGTTATTTTTAAAGCTCTATTTTCATTTGACTAGACGCACCAAGACATACTCCTGCAGAAGGATGCACATTTCATAAAGTCATAACTGATCTTCAGAAACATTTTAAGAAAAAGTAATTTTAAGAAAACTGTTTAAGACAGTCTGTTTTTTCATTCTTTATTCCTATGATATTCATATTAATGAATAATATTATATTATATATAATATAATATAATAATTATATATAACATTGGAGTTTATGTAAAAAGAAACACATTGAATATTTTCACTTTGCAGGTACTCTGAAATCCCAACATCCATAATCAGAGATAAATGCAACTTTTGCATTAGAGAGTGCCACAAATAATAAAGATATACTTTCATAAACCAATATGGTAGGCAGACGTGGATAGCTTTACTGCTGGCAAGTTTTCTTTTGCATGAAAAAGACAACATCCAATTAGTTTCTACAGGAACTCACCTCGGATTATATAAACCTGTCCACCTATCAAGTGTTTTAGACAACAGAACAGTCCGTCTGACAACAGGGGGTGGAAAGCAGTAAAAGAAATAATGACCAGATGTCAATAGTTGGGTGAGAGAGGATCAAAGGTTAAAGCTTAAGAGGAAATACTAGTCACTGGAGTGGAAGAACACAAAAATATAGCAGTATAGATCAGAAAAAGGATTGAACAAAAGGATTGTTGGGTAAAATTTAATGAAATGAAAATTTTGTGCAGTTTTTGTGTAATCTTTAACAAAAATTACACCACTTACATAATGGGTTATCTTAGCACTAATAGTTACTGGGTTCTAAAGCACACTCAACACAAAGAATCATGCAGACAACTAGGTTATAGAAGACCAGGTAAAAAAAAAAAAAATCACTGTATCCTTTTTATCAAACCTTATGCTTTTTCATGCAAACTCCAGCATATTAAGAAAAACTGCACACAGTAATTATACTTTATATATTAAAAGCAATAGAATGAAAAATCACTGAACTGAAAACTAAGCTGGTTTTGCCCTTAGCTGTTATAGTTAGATATTTGATTGCAATATTTCAGTTCTTGAGTAGCGATGGACTTGGGCATGAGAATGACTCTGACCTAATCTCTAAAAATAGCTGAGGGATGCTTACCTCTGAAATTCAACTCTGGGTCTCTATTTAAAACGTAAATATCTCACTTGTTAAAATTTGTGCATTTATGGACTTAATGTGTGTTGGCATACACACACATGCATTTAATGTGCAAAAGCTTGAACCTCATTTCGACAAAATTTTAAAGGATAATAAGAAGCATCTTTTTCTCAGACAAAACATTAACCTTCACACAGAGAAACAAGGACACATTCTAACATCAAATGTTATTGCCTGCAGGATTTGGCCTATTTGCCTGCACTCAGTTGCTAAACGAGTTACTATATAACATACAAATATGCAGCAGAGGAGTATATGCTCTACTTCAAGAAGTAGAAACGTAGGACTCAATCCATATGTGCTATAGAAACATTTCATGAAAATTGCATAGGTTCACAACCCTTGGACTATGGAAAGGATCACACATGAGAAATAACTGCTTCCCTTTCTATCATTGTTTCTCAAGACCTGAATGAAAACTGACCTGCACATGCACTTTGCAGCACCTCTTAGGATTCTGGACCACTGATGGTCCAAACAACAAACTCGATCAGAGCATTTCATCACCAACCCTATGGGCCTCAGTCCACACTTTGTGGAAATGATGGCACAGAGAGAGGTTGGTGCGTGTCCATCATGCACTTGACAGGGAGTTAGGAAACGGCAGTGGTATGCACCTGGATACAGGAGTTTTTAAGAAGGTGCCCCAAACCCTCATTTGCCTAAACAGAACTGGACTACTGTTATGATGAACATCAAAACTTCCCCCTATCCTTCACAGGGGACAACAGAAGGTAACGCACAAGATCTTCCTTTGAAGAAGATTAGACAGAACATGATATTGCAGGGCTACAATTTGGATTTCTCTAGAGACTCCAGAATAAGCCACCTACTGTTTTTTGCTTTAAGGGAACACATGGTCCCTTCTCTCCTGTTCATTCCTTCCCCCTCCCCACTGTCCTTGGGCTTTCCTGGCTTTCCCCATCTATTTCTATGCTTTGTCTACAAATACGCAACTCTGGGGCAGCTAAATAATTATGTAAAAGTATTAGATTCTTCTTTCGCCTTCTTTCTCCAGCCATGTTAACAAAGTCTGGCTCCATCAATGTGAAAAACATAGAGAAAATAAAGCAGAGTAAGGCTGAGCCAAATGTAATTAACGAATGGAATAAAACGTGGGTCAAGAAAGAAAGAGGAGAGCAAGAGTCTCAAGTAGTTTGATTTACTTCCTAAACTCTGAAGACAAATTGAGATGCGTAAACCCCTTATAAAATGTTGGCAGCCTGCTACATAATTCAGTAGTGTCAGATAAATCTCCTACTGCCATAGAAATCTGGGGATTAAGAAACAGAAAGAGGCGCTAAAACCTGAGCCTCCGGACAAAATCAAGAGGAATAGGTAGGTATGTCTGGCTACAACTTATGTAAATCAGACTCATCATCTAAAAACCAATAAAAAATAATTTTTAAAAAAGTTCATTATTGAACTTTCTCAAGCTTTATCAAAGAATTACAGACAGTAAAAATGTTCTGTGTGCGCGACGTTCCATCTGGCTCCAGTTTAAAAGTATAGAAAGTTCACAGATATTTTAGACAAATGTATTTTTGAACAAATGCTTGAACACACAGTTCAAGTCCTTTCCAATGATGAATATTCCTTCTGCACAGTATATATGTCAAAGGTCTCAATTTGTTTCCCTATTGTCTTCACTGACATCCCCAAGTTACATATGTTACTACCACATACATGCAGGCACATAAGCAATTAAAGACTGCAGTATCAACCCCTCTAGGAACAGCAATAACTGTTCAGAGTGTTTATATTAATATTAGCCAGCATGTACTTTCTCTTTAAACCCCGACTTTTTATTCTTGGCCTGTGATGTGAGGCATTAGTAATTTAGCAATTAATCATTATGATAAAGGTAATTTATTAGTCAGTCATCATGAAAAATTAAAATGGTCTTGTCAACTTACAATTAATATTTTGAATTTTACATTTTTGCTATTTCCCAACTGACTAGAAATATAAAACATGAAACAGATTAGTTGATGATTGCTCTATTTCATTTTGATTGGGTAAGACTAAATGATAGGACTGAAGTCCTTGCTACTGAGAGCCCCACCAGTACAGAAGCATTAGGATGAAAAAAGATTTTCACTCACTGGGTGGTCTGTTCGCTGCCAAGTTTTTGAAGTGGCTGCCTTTTATCACTTCTGCTGATAATCTTCCAGTTGTAGCGTTATAAAGGAGGCCAATGAGGATTTCTGGAGCTGAGCCATGTACCAGAGACTGACAAGAGGAGGTACTTTCACTGCAGGAAACTTCTGACATGCTCATTTGAGAGTCACAACCCTATAAAACAGATAAAAAGTTCCATGTATTTTATGCAACAACGTTAGTGTGAAGTCAGTTTTTAGAATAATACATGGAAAATTCAGAAAGCAATGTACTGGCAATAGCAGAAGTCTCATTCGATCACCCAATAAGAAATGTACATCCTTTATAGATACTCAGTTCTCACGTGTTAGAGGTAACAAAGACTAAAGTGGTCTGGAACGAAAATAATTCTTAATTTTGTGTTTCCTTCATAATTCAGGAGAAATAATAGCAGAAGATGAAGAGCAGCCTTTATGGTCTCTATTTACTTCAATTGCTAAGATAAGACCTGTAACGTAATTTGTCAGCATCCTGGAGAACACTAAACCTTGTATCTTTTACTTTCCAAAAATGGAAACCATTAGTGGAACTTTGGAGATAATAAAATGTAGGAAATTCTTATTCATCCTTTGTAAAGGTTATTCTCTAGACTGAGAATTTATGAGTAGCAAAATAACAGAACACATGCGAATAGAAAAATGCATTCAGTCTAGAATAAATTAGCTTACAAGGAATTTAATTGATCCAGGGATACAGAATTGCAATAGATCCTCGTCTTGGGTGGGAAAGGAAGAATGCCATCCTAAGGCTCAACAAACATTTTGATTTCCAATCTGCAAGCTTCCAAAAAATTCAGATCTCTCACGCGTTCTCACCATGTCACATCTTTGATGGGAGCTTCTAATATTAATTTTTATCATTTTAATCTCTCATTACATGCCTTAAGGAAAAAAAAAAATCTTTCTGTTGCCATGCTAATCATACCATAGTTGTTCCTACTTTCATTTCTTGCTTTCGTGCACTGGCACATAGAGTTGTACCACTGAAAACAAGAAACTGGACAGAATCTAGCCAATGGTAGAGCAAGTTGCTTGGTAGCCAAGAAGAGACTTCTGAATTATCAGCACATTCCTTTATGATTGTCTCAGAAAAAAACATAATTGGATCCACAGATTTTTCAAATATGGCTTGACTCATTTGGGAATCTGGCAGCACTCTTTCAAAGAGTCATGATGATATTGTGAAGCTGATTCTTACAGATTCCAAATGTCTCTATCGTTTCCAGCAACAGCTGACACGGGTGCAAGATCAGTCTGAAAACCTAAATAGCACAAATCTTAAATAAATGTTAACTTTAAAAGCAAGTAACTTAATCTGATATATAAAGTCCAAATGCTTTACAGAAACTCAATATCTACAAGAAGAAATGATGAACTTACAATAATAGCTTTCATATTGACATTAGAACTAGTCCTTCTCAAAAAAACATTTCCACGAAGTCTGACAGAAGCTTCCAGTAGCAATCCAGTTCCTCGTTAATAAAATTCACTGTGGTTAGCAAATGCCTTTTTACTACTAAAGGGCCTCAACAAAATTCTCTGACTTCCATTCTCCAAGCTGCAAATTCTGAATTTTAAAGCTTTGGTTATTTCTCCAAAAGTTCTTTATTCAATTCCAAGAATAAATTTCAAATGGGTTGCAAGTTGTGAATTGCTGAAAATGAATTACAAGTATACATTTATTCTCTGGTTCCTGGCACTCACAAACAGGAAACTTTTGATTCCTAACTGCAACAGTAGAATATAAAATAGAAAGTTTCAAAGAAAGATGGCTTGATTCAGTAGTCACAGTATACACTGCACACTTGAAAGCCTCAGTCTGTCACAACTGCAGGTATTACTTAATGTTTCCTGTCTTTTAAAATTGTAACACATTATCCCTGCGGTGCTTACTCATCTTACTATTTTGTTGGGCCAGGAATTTAACCAGAGTCTACCTGATACTGTTCAAAGCTTAGGTCTCAAATTTGATTGTGATCATGCTGCAAGTCCGCAAAAAAATAGACATAACAGAAAGTGAGTAGTTGGGTAACACTCCCCCTCAAACCCTCACAGGGCTTTCACATCTGTACTGAGAAAAGGTGACGATAGCAGTTTTTCCTATTTGTGACTTATTTGTACAGTTTAATGATGTTCTAAGAGGGACTCAGTCTAAATCAGTTTACGACAGAGTTAAGCTGGTTACAATGGGTATCAGAATAACACTTAGAATGCTAGAAATAGGAAATAGTAAATGAAGTGATGACTAAGTGGGAATGAGTCATGAAGTAACCTTGAAAGGGAAGACAAGTAGCTTTTGTGTGATATAACAGACAAGGAGGGAAACCGCTCAAAATGAAACAAGCATGATATGAAAAAGTTACATAATTATGGCCCAGGGATATCGTTCCTTTACAGCAGAATCCTGAATGGATGTGAGAAGGACAAGACTGTGTTTGCCAAGGCCAGAGAAAAGGATCTCACCAGGTGAACAGTGGGATGAGAAGATCTAGGTCACACTTCAGATCTGTACGTGAATGAAAACACATCTAAGTGGCTGTACCTTAGAACTGTTGCACAGAAAGAACAGGTAGATGCAGCCTTGATGAAAATCTGGAGAGGGGGTCTAACTTAAATGTTTTGCTACATTTTTTTCTAAATCAAAATATTTGGCCTTTTGTTTTGAGACAGGTAGCGGGTTTGAAACAAACTAAAGTATGTTGTTCAATGCTTAGTGAATAATAAACTTATGAATCTCCTTCTTACAAAATGTTGTGGTGACAGAAGCTTAAAGACATTAAAATAGAGCAACCAAATTCACCGAAGAAATTACCTAAACAATATTTTGTTTTCCATTTCACATTAAAAAAAAGACTCCAACATGTTTTATTCCATGCTGACCCAAACATATTTTTAAAAATATTCTGATTTTCAGTTACGAACTGGAAAATCTTAATACAAAAGAAAGTGAGATGTTAAGAAGAAAAATGAAGCAGTGAGCTAAGAAGCAGATTAGGAGACAGACTGACGTTACTGGATAAAAACAGCGTTAAACAACATAAACCTAAGTATAATTTTGGTGTCTATGATAAGGAAGAAAACAGAGAATTTGGGGCCAGTAGGTAAAAGACATGAGAAAAAAGGGAAGGTGAGGTCATATTTTGTCAGTTTGCTTTTAAAAGAAAACAGGTCCTATGAGGAAGAGAAAAAGAACAGGAATCGGAGAAGGTAAAGAGACAGCTGAGATCAACAGGACTCAGAGCAACAACTGAAGAAAGACTTTTCATTGCAGGACAGAGTCAAAATCAGGGATACTGAGTATTATTAGATGTCTTCTCAAAAGTATTTTCTCCAGCACAGAGTTTATTGTTCACATTTTGGAAATGTATTCATTGTTTTTTAAGTAAGGCATTCTGTAATAATCACATCTGTTGGTAAGTAACCTGACTGTGTTAATTAAGTCTGTAAGCTGCAGTAGAATTGAAAATACCATTTTTTTTCAAGTCTTTTTAGAGGGTTTTTTTTCCATCTACATAGTCAAAATTCAAGAAGAGTGCTAACAAACTCACCAAGAAAAAAGCAAGACAAGAAGTTACACTTCTTCCTGCTCAAAATGCAAGTTTCATGATCACGTGCCAAATTGTAAAATATTAACACTGAAATTGCTAATTGGTACAACATGAACATAAACTTAGCTACAATGAAGCTTTCATCTCATGGCAACATTACAGTGCTACCAGATGCTTTTCATCTCCATACAGATCTGCATTCAATCTATCTGTAGGTCACTTTGATACTGTAGTTTCACTGTGGGAAACGTAATATTTAGACTAAAAGTTATTATTTGTTTGAAATAATCTGTCTATGTAAGTTTATTTTTATAACTCTTCCCTCTCTTCCTCTATAAACACTATATGTGTATTTTAACATGTAGAGAGAAAAAAGGACTAAAATTCCATTAATAACAAAAGCCTTCCAATGTCAGTGAAGCACCCGAATAGCCTAGTAAGAACTGTTGTAAAATCTTAACTGCAGATTTTTAAGAACTTAGATGAACTGTCAAGGTATTGATGATCTGGAATGCAAGTAGCTGTCTTTTGAGGTTGCCTCCACGATACTCATGCTAAATCTCTAATCTATTTTTGTCAATTTAGCCATAACAAAAATACATTATTAACAGTAAACACAAGCAAAAAAGCACTAGGTAAAGTCTACTCCAAATACTTGGTTCAAAGGTCTATCTTACTACAGTAAATTACAAATGTTCAGCTTTTCAATTTTATAACACAGAGCTTTGCTCAAAGGATCTAAACCTTTCCCATATACACCACAGGACAGTACTTTATTACAATTATTTATTTTATTTGATCAACACTTACAAGAATCGCTGCTTTTCACTGGATTATAAGAGTCGTATATGTTATATTCTACAAAAACTCAATTACTAATTCTCTAAACTATTGTCCTTGATGACTTCTTTGCATATATTATCTAGGGAAGAAACACAACTTTTTAATAAATATATAATAAAACATTCCCATTAAGCAGTATTTGTATTTCGCATGTTCCTATTGTACAAAAGTTGGCACTCAAAAACACTCATTCTTTTTTCCCCGAGTGCCAATGGAAGCAAACACATACAATGCAGGGTGTCAGACCTGAACCCCTAAGAAGTACTTTCAATAATCTTTTTCTCTGCTCTCTGACAACACGGAGAATCCTCTATTTGCAACAATGATAATTATATGTAAAATGTATTTATCTGTCTTCCTTCACCATAATTCCATGGAAACAGGATATTTGTTACTTACATATTCATCTCCTACTGTTATTTTTCTATACCCTGAAGTTCTGCTTCTAAATCCTGCTCTTACGCCAACTGGAGTTAATCACAGAGAATAACGTGACCATGCTCTGAGGGCAGTTAAAAGTTCATTTTCCTCACTGCACAGGTTAAAATCATGCCTCTGTAGGCTTATGAAACAAGAACATCTGATTCTCTTGGCTTTTCAAAATATACACAGAAAAGATGAAACCTTGCTGACAATCCTTCAGCAACAAAAATCTGATTCACAGCATGTTACTTGTCAAAATGTCTCTCTCAAATTTTAAATGTTAATGTTATACCACTAATCTCTTAAAGAACTTTTTTGCACA